GAGTATGGTTTGAATTCTTTCTTCTTCTTCTAGGCCGGCTGTTTAGAGGAATCAGCCGCCCAGACCTCTTTTCTCTTTTTCTCATCTTTGTTGGACGACTGCTTCTGTCATCCTTCTTTCTTGTCGAACCTTCTTCCGTCCGACTGCTTTCCAGTACTACAAAGATCAGTCGCCTGTATATAGGCTTCTGCTTCGATCAAGGCTTCTTGAAGAGTCGCCACCCTCTTTCAAACCAAATCAAATTTGAAGGTCGACCCGTCTTTGAGACCCCTGAAAAAGTCAGTATAGGCCACCTCATCCGGTAGCCCTTGAATCTGTATCCTCATCAGGTTAAACCGCCTGATATAAGAACGAAGCCCCTCCTTCTCGCCCTGCTGAATCGTCCCTAAATCAAGGGTCTTCTTCTTCGCAGGTATGTTCATGGCAAAATTGGAGGTGAATAAGTAAGAAAGCGTCCTGAAGTTGTTCACACAACCAGTCGGCAAGTTGCCGAACCATTGTTGTGCGATCCCTTTAAGAGTCGCTGGGAAACACTTGCACCAAGTGGGATCATCCAACCCTTGAAGTTACATTAGGTTGGTGAACGCCATCAGATGGTCTTCAGGGTTAGTAGTGTCGTCATAGGCACCTACTAACACATTTTTAACTTTGGCCGGCTGAGCGGCTTCAGTAATTTCCTTGGAGAAAGCCGACGGCTGTTCCCCAAGTCTAAGCAACCGTAGCTGTCAGTCCATAGGTTGGACATTTTTTGCCGCCTGTCCTCCAAACAAAGGTGACTGCAGAAAATATTGTTGTTGTGGTACATATGGTAAGTTTGGTACCGCCTGGTCACTATGAAAACCAGACCGACGGGAGGTACCGCCTGTCTGACTCTCGTGATTTGACTGAGTATACCTCATAGAGGTATTGCGCAGACTATCTTGAAAATCTGAAGTAGAGGCCGACTCTGACAGTCGGTCGTTCTTCTTCTGCTCTAGCAATAGCCGAGTGTTAGTGTATGTTTTCTTCGACCCGTTCGCCTGTATATGACGAACGGGCTTCCTCCTTCCTGGAGTTAGGATGAGGGGTCGCCTCTCGTCCTTGAATAGGCTTCCTCTTACCTGAAGAGGAAGGTTTCTTAGCCGATTGCTCCTTGGCCAGAGCAGGCGTCCTTTTGTTGATCAGTTCCTGAATCTCTCCCTTGAAGCTCCTCATGAAGGTCATGAGTTCGTTTCTTGTAATGGGAGCAGATCCTTCAGCCGGCTGCTGCTGAGCAGGCGGTGCGCCGACTGGATCACTGAGTCCAGTTTGAGGATCTTCCCGTTCTCTCCTTTCGGTATGACGGGTACGCCGGGCCCTTAGGGTCCCGTCTGAAGTTGTATGTGCTTCAACTTCAAACTCTTCTTCAGTATCATGATCCGTCTGAACTTGAGGGTCGTCTAGGGGACGCCTCTCTTCTGGAGTCGGTACAGACGTGGATGCCATCTCAAGAGTACTCTCCCCACAGACGGCGCCAAAATGTTTTGGGGTTTTCTGATGTCCTGCGGGAGAGTTACACTTCCGAGACTGGAACCAGACGCCTGTACCTGCAAAACAAACGGATACCCCGGATGATTGGAGATCCGCCTCCAACGGTCAAGTTAGTACTTGTTTAAGGAGTAATTAATGCGGAATATTGTAATTGAGTCTCTCTAGGTGAGAGGGTTTAATGTGCGTAATCCCCTTTAATGAGGATTAATGAGCATATTTATATGCTTTGGGATGCGTGCCAATTCCTAGGTTTAGGTTAAACCTAGAACTGACTGGGTCTCCCACGAGGATTGGGCCTTGTTGGCCGGTTTTCCCATTTAGCATGGGTGGACACATGTCGCGTCGCAATTGGTCCGTGGAGGACGTATCTCTGATTGACACGTGGCAGGCTCCTATTGGCCTACGTGAAGGACACGTGGCGGAACCTGGTTGGTCCACTTGTCAGATGGTGATTGGTGGATAAAAAAACCCCTTATCAAAATCCTTTTAAAATAAAATCCTTTTAAACAAACTTTTAACAAAGTCAACAAGCAGTTTTATTGTTGCATAAATCTCTGATTATACGGTTTTGTCAAAGCAAATATTTAGCAAGTTGTTGAGATAGTGGATTAGTGAGCAAGGCAAGGAAACCTCCTTCATGATCACCATTGGTCACGATTACTCCACAAGTTGTTAGTGGGGTGTTGACATGTGTGTGTGATTATAGTGGGAGGTTAATGACTAAGTCTTCTCTATAAATACTCATGCAATCTATCTCAGCAACTTACAACTCTTGAGCATAAAAATTCCAGTAGAAATCCTATAACAAAAAGAAAGTTCTTGTCCTTTATATATTCTTGAGTGTAATAGGTATTTGTAATTACAGATTGTATTCAAGTACTTTGGGTTTGGGATTGTGAGTTTGTAAAGTGAGGTTAAGGAAGCTTCGTTGCTGAAGTCTTCTGAGAGAGTTGGGAACAAGTTCCTAATTTGTGGAACTTGTTAACGGGTTTGAATTTTCACTTGTAAAGAGTTTGATTACATAGTGGAAATTTGGAAAAGCCTATATCCACTCTTGTCTTTGTTTTATTTAGTTAAAGTCCGCAAAAGTTTTAGACTTCACCTCAAATACAATTCACCCTCCCTCTTGTGTTAGCCAGTTAGACTTTCAAAATCTCTCCCTCAAAATCTCAAACAACCTTTGTCATCACCAAAAAAATCTTCCTTGGAAGACTCGTTATATTGCAAGAAGTTGGAAAATACAAAACGTAAGTTGCAACAAGGGTACAAGAACTACGAAAATGGAAGAAAGAAGATATGTTTGATTAGATTGGGTGATCTCCCTTCACAACCTACTACAGGTTCAAGAAAGCAAAATAAGTTGAAAGAAACGAGCTTAAGAAATCGTAAAGAGTTAAGAGAGGTCAAGAATAATAATGGCTCGTCAAATACTTGGTTGTTGAACAAACTATGTACTAGTGGTACGGTACGTCAAGATAAAGAACAAGATTATGGTACTCGGCCACCGGCAACGAATTCACAGATCAAGATTAAGTCATGAGAGCAAGCGAAGAATTAAAGATGTATCATCATCAAAATCAATTTCTTCTACTAGGATTGAGGTTGATGAATGGTAGAATAGTGGCTGTGGTTGAGTAGAATGTCGTTATATTTCGTTTTATGTATCATGTACTATGTTGAAAGAGATTTTGATGTTTACCCCCGCCCGTAAATTGTGTGTTACTCGTAATTTTTACTGCTTTTCGTATTATTCGTATTATTATTATTATTATTATTATTATTATTATTATTATTATTAAATCTCATTATTATTATTATTATTACAAGCTTAGGTATGCACGCCACATATAAGAAGTGTATTAGTATACTTTCATTAACCATACAAAATTGGTTACATATATACTTATTGTACATACTTGGAGATAATGCAATGCGTGCACGATGTTATAAGATATTTTAAATAGGATTCTTTTATATATATATAGGAAAGTACAAAGAATATATAGGAAAGTACAAAGAAATTCTTTCTACTTTAGTGAACAATAGGAAAAGTACATATTAGAGAAACAAAGAAAAAATACAGTACAACTTTTAAGCTACCAATATTACTAGAAATAGAGGTAACTCTAAGTCGCTATTAAATTATTAATTGTTACTAGTATTTGTCATCACGATTACACATCAATTAATAAGGTTCGAAAACCCAATAGGACAACCTCAAACATATAGCTAGATTTATAACCAAAGATACACCATAATTAGCGGTGTCAATTGCCTTCTTGATAATCTTGTACTTTGAAATACGAAAATGAGTGGTGTTAAAACTCTGTTATATTCGGTTCATGATTCTTAATATTTAACTAAGATAAATAAATATATTTTTTGACACATCAAGATAAGATTACCATCGATTTTTTTAGGGATTGGATGCATTTTTATTTTAAGGAATGGATTAAAGGCAGTTGAAGGAAGAGAGGAATGTGGGAAAAAAAAAATGTATGTGGAGTAAGTTTTGAGATAAATGCTTTTTTTTTTAGTAATTTTTGTTTGTGGCTAGCCACATGTACAGTATAAGAATAATCCTTATTTATTTATATGGTGACCTTATTTATTCATAAGAGTAACCTTATTTTGTCCATTAGAGTAACTCCAATTCATTATATGAGTAATATCAACTAATTTAGAAATAAGTATCCTCATTTGTTCATTCAAGTAACCCCTATTTTTTGTTTTAAAAATTAAAAGAATGATTACACTTATGTAAATGAGTAACCCCTTTTTTCATTTAAATAACTCCACATACATACGTCAAGGTAACTCCATTTGCTCATCACCGTAACCCCCTATTATTACTTAGTTAATAGCCTTATTGTGAAGTGGCCACACCATGTGGTTAGCCACATATACGAATTTGTGTTTTTTATTAAACCTTTATAAGTTTTAGAAGATTTTGTAATTAAGAAGGATAACTTAATTGAAAAAAAAAAAAACTGAAAAAGTTTTTTTAATGATATTTTTGTCAAGATAATTTTCCCAATCAACCAAAGAGTTGTCTTTAAAGATTAACACATAAACGAGTAACCCCTTTTTTCATTGAGTGGTAATAACTTTATGCATAAATATTATATAAAATTTCAGTGAAATAATTAGCATGTGGTCCTCAATTACCACATGATGACAATCTGACCAAAAAAAAAAAGGTGAAGTACACCTACATATCTCTCTCTTCCTATTTCTATCTACCACGTGCTTATAAACTATTTTAAAAATTATTATGTATTTGCAATTACATAAATATTGAATTAAAATGATAACAAAATTATATTGGATATATTTATTTTCATATTGTTTGTGTTACAAACGTGTGAAGAAGTATAGACATATGAAGAAATTCATGGATCAAATTTTTTGGGTTACAAAAATACACAGGTCAGAGTATTTAATCTATCAGTTTGCATCCACCTAATGACTTAAACTAAACTCGGACCAGATTAAGGCGCTACTTGTACTTGGTGATTGTTCTCTATTCTAGGACGCTTTTGTAGCTGTTCTGGACTTGCTATGGAATCACAGGAGCTTGCACTGCGTTTATTATCATTCCATTGTGTTAGAGCACCCGCCTTCCTTTCTTCTTTCGCCTTTAACAATTCTTCGATGCGCGATAATAGGGGATCAGGTGGGAATCTAGACTCAAGCTTAAATGTGGCAATGCAGCTAGTAACATCTCGAAGAATTAATAGTTCCTTGTCAATACCTTCAATCTGTAAACAAAAGACCAAAATTATACAAAGTAAGATAGTTTGTCCCATGACCAGAACATAGAGAGATGAACGAGAAACTATATAACAACAAGAAGAATGACAAGTGATGCAAAAATCAGATTGTAAATTAGCTTCATACTATTCAAGCAAATGAGATGCGAAGTAATAATATGATCAGTCACATACATTGTTTATGGGTAGTACCTTCGTAATAAACGTTCCAGCTTTCTGTTTCTTATTCACTTTTTTATTAGACATGTCCAAGTAATTTTCCAGCAAAGGCTCTGGCGGAAATATATCTTCCAACTTAAAAATACAAATGCACTTGACTGCTGTGAGTAACTTCTTTTTTTGAATATAAGACTTGATAAGCCCTGTTCAATGCAAAACAGAAAATAAAAAAAATTAAAAAAAAAAAAAAAAGGGTAAATACGAGTATTAGTCTAAAGAACAATGAACGAGCACCATAGATGTACAAACTTGATCATAGCAGAAAAGGAATTCCTGTATGAAACTCATAGCCTAATAATGAAAGTAACATTCTTAAAAACTAGGAAGCTAATGAGTACTCGTGAGTAGGTTAGCTTAACTACTTAAGGACTCGTAATTCTGAACAAAGTGCGGAATGTGGATGGATGTCAACTAAATTAGCTTAGTAAGAGTAGTTAGTTAAATGTGATATCTAGGGATCGAATCACGTATACGCTATTTGTACTTCAAAAAATATAATAACAAATTGTCATTTAGCAAGTTTACATTATATTTGAGATAATGAAGATATATGCATACCTGGGATCTTATCTGAAAGTCCCAATGCATTGCATAAAGTCGCTTGCTGCTCTAGCCGATAAATCTTACATCCACAATAAAATGAACCAAAAAGGGTAACAAGATCATCTGCATTAAAACAATTTGCTAACATGAACGCAGCTACAAACTGCAAAAAACCGAAATTATCTGTCGGAGTTCTGTTCTTGGCGGCCTTTAACAACATAGCTAGATGCCTTGCTTCCTCTTTGACATGTTTCGTAATTGGAGGTGATAGTTTCATTAACTGCTCCAACAGCAATATGCAACTATCTTTATAAATTGTGGTCATATTCTTATCTGAGAAATTTTGGTGGAATGTTCGAGTGACTTCCATAACAAGTTTTCCTGGATTAGGAGCACATCTAAGAGCGTCCAATATCCCTTCAGGTGATATTGTTTTCGCCTTCACCTGGTCCGTTATACAAAATCCCAAAAACAATGCATCCATTTTAGTGCAATATGAACGGACTTGATCACCACCAATACTTGATGATGAGGAAAAATCTTTTGAACATGCTGTTTGGTGGATTTCTGAATTAGGTAATTCCTGCCTCAAATTTGTCAAACTTCTACTACCTTAACAAATCAAACAAGAAAGAGCAAGTTATTATCAGCTGTGATCTTAGTTTAATTAGACGAGGTTATCTTGCTAGTTAAAGCATAGGGGTGGTACTCAAAGGTTGTGATTATTAAATCTCACTTGCATCATACTTCTTCCATTAATTATTACAGTTGATAAACTTTTTAACGTTAGTAAACTTTTATAAAAGTTAATTATATTGAAATATATTTGAGACGACTCTAAATAGATTAACATTATTTTTAATTATAACTATAAATCACAAATAAAAGCTAGTTAAAATAAAGTTTTGTCAGCTAAAAAAGAAAGGAGTTGCTCACCATAGTGTTTCCCTTGATACTCTTGTGCTTGACAATTAGAAAGTATGTGATGTCCATCACCCTCTACTTGATCATTGAGCTTGTTCTCTTTCGACTCGATCACCTTGTCGAAATCATTAGTTTCCTTATCATCCCTTCCTACCAACTCCTTAGCCTCCACTGCAAGGAATCGCTCCTCAATTTCCTTTTCCTTCAATTCCATCTGTATAGACCGCTCATCCAATTGCTTTCGAACCAACTCCATAGCTTTTGCATCCTCTAACATTCGCTTCTCTTTCGCCTCTAACATTTCACAACGCTCATCAATCTCCTTCTCTTTCAACCCTAACATCTTCTCTTTAGACTTTAACATTGAGCTTTGCTCATTATTCTCCTTTTCCGTACGCTAGAGTGCAAAGTACAACTCATCCATGTCATTCATATCCTCCTCCAACTTTACCTTATTTTGTTCCAACACACTCTCCTTCATACTCAACTCCTTCTCTTTGGCATCCAATGCTTCGCCTCGCTCACTCATCACCTTCGCCATCAACTCCATCTCCTCAACCCGGTCCTTAACCGCCCTCTCCCTCTCCTCCACCTCCTTCATCTGCTCCTTAACCCGCTCGAAACCCTCCGCATTCCGCTTTTTTCCCACCTCCACCGCCTTACACCGTTCACCAAGCAAACTCTTCTCCAACTCCAATGACTCACGTAACTCTCTCACTTCCTTTTCTCTCAACCCTACACCGTTGATTCTCTCGCGCAACGACTTCTCCTCCGAATCCAACTTCTTCTTCCATAACTCAACCTCCTTTCCTAAATTATGTAACTTGTTTCTAGTCATATCAATGTTCCTTTCCTTGGCCTCGACATCCTTGACACGCTCCTCGAGCGAATTGTGGACCTTAGCGAAAGAACCCTGAAGTGTGCGCCATTGCTCACAAAGTGAAACTATTGAATAAGTGCGAGTCTGGAAGTCGGTGAAAGTTTCGCCGAGTTTGTGCATTACTAGTCTTGAAGACTTAAGGTCGTTTGAAATTTTGATCAAAAATTGTCATAGTTGATCAAACTTTAGGACAGAGTATTATGTTTGATGAACATCAACAAACTAACAGCAAGAAAATTGAGAGAATCTTCATTGAATTGATGGTAAACTTGGTACAAAATTGAGAGAATTTACAGGAGATTTAGAGAGAGAAAAGAGAAGATCATAAAATAGTTGTGATTCTCATTACATCTGAGAAAAATGAGCAAATACAAGTATTTATATTCTGTTATAACACTATTCAAAAAAAAATATTCTTTTATAACAGAATTGATTCTAACAAACTAATGCCACATCAGCTTAAGCTCTAACAACCTTTATGCCAACTCAGCTGAAGTTAGTTATCACCATATTCTAGAGAGTTTTCTGATTTAGCTGCTGCTGAGTGCTGACTGTATTGATCTTCTGGAAACTTCTCTGACTTGGCTGCTGTTGCTTGTAATGGTGCTATTATCTTCATTACACAAAATTAAATTTGAAAAACAATGATTAAACCGAAAATTTTTGCAAAGAAACAAAAATAAACAATAAAGAATAATACAAATTCTTAAATGGACCTGGTTCACACAAATTTATTGTGGACCATTAACATTAGAGATACTATGATTGTTTTATTAATAAATAAAAAAAAGGTCACTACATTAAAATTAAAATAAAGGTTATTATGTTGAAATAAAAGCGATTGTGACATTATAAAAGGTATAAGAGGTTAATTTTTTGGGATGTAAACAGAAATAACATTAAAGGTCACACAAGTTTTAATAAAGGTTATTATGTTAAAAAATAAGGATACTATGTTAAAATTACGGTCACTATGTTCCAAATAACGTTAGTTCTGCGTGTATATAAATAAAAGATAGTGGTTATAACTAATAAATTCTTATACTCCGTAAACAAGATTGGGGTTGTTGGCTTGTTGCCTTCTTGGAATATAATGGTAGATAAAAAGGAAAAACCGAAAACGTCATTTTCTTTATTTTTTGGTAAATAACTAAAACGAGAAAAGAATACATTTATAGTTAAAGTTATTAATTAGGCCCCATTTACTACACCTTATTTTAGCTATATTGAAATTATTTTTGCTGAAATAAAATTAATTTTACTAAAGTGAAATTATTTTTGCTGAATTGAAATTATTTTTACTGATTCTTTATTATATTTCTTCTTCAGTTACTGATTTTTACTGAACTAAAATTATTTTTACAGAACTTAAATTAAATTTATTGAACTAAAATTATTTTTAACTGAACTGAACTTATCTTTACTGAACTGAAATTATTTTTACTGAATAATTATTTTCTTAAGATGAAGTTGACAGGGTCTTAGTAAGCGAAAAATAAAATGGATATATACAATGTATATTTTTTGATGCAGAGTACGTACTTACTATATTACTCCAAACTAATAGTCTTAGGCCATATACTCTTCAACTTGTTTAGGCAATTTAATTGTGTTAAATAAAATAAAATGTAAGTATGGTAGTTGGAGAATTAAAAAATATTGTAAAAGAAATATAGTAGGTTAATAGTTTACGGAAAAGTAATGAATGTGACTATGTGAGAGAAAAGAAATAATCAAAAAGAAAAGTTAATAGTGGCTTTGGGTGGAGACCATGAGTGGAGAAAGATATTTCCTCCTATTTTATTTTTTTTAGTTGCATCACTTTTTCTAAAATGAAAATGTTAAAACAGTTTCACCACACTATAAAATGAAGGTTTTTATGATCAAAATGTAGTTTTTTTGCCAAAAAAAAAAAAACACGGTCACATTTAATAAGTATAACACTTAATAAAGGGTAACATGGATGAGTTGTAATCTAAGGGTCAAGATTATATTTCTTCACAGATTAAGAACACGGTGGGGGTATTTTTAGGAAAAAAACTAAAATCATTTTTTATTTTACCTGGAATCTTCTTGAATTGGAAAGTCCCAACACACGGCATAAATTTAGGTTCGATCTCTTCACACCGATAGATGTAGATCGACATCATTGCCATCATAAAAAAATGTAAATAGTGAGAGAAGCTCTTCAGCATTGAAAATTTTACCTAGTTTCAACTTAGCTAACAATTGAAAAAACCTAAAATGATCTTTAGCAGAATTACTCCCCTTCAATTTTTCTCCCTCACATCCAATCCATGCCCTCTCTCATTCATCATTACCTCCCTCATTCCGCTGCCTTCGCTACCTTCTCCCTCACACAACACTCCGCCTTGAGCTCAGAAACCTGACGCTCTCTCTCCTCCAACCCTCCCCGCCGCTCCTCAACTTCCTCCTCCTTCTCCTCCGCCACTCCTGCACTTCCTTTTCTCTCTCCTCAACTGGGTTGTGAATCGTTCCAAGCTAGTTCTGTAAACTTCGCCATTGCTCGCCGATTGTAAGAATTGTAAAGGATTGAGTTTGAAAATCCTCAAAAGTTTCACCAATATTCTTCATCAACATTCTTGCAACCCTTAAATCGTCGGTAGTTTCTCCATACAAACATATATAATTAATCCAAATACTCCCTCCGTTTTTTTTATTTGCACCACTTACAAGCGTGGAGTTTTAGGAAAATGAATTTGGTATAGTATAATAATGTGAGTGGATGAACAATTTATTATAGTAAAAGTAATGTAGGAACCATGAAAGTGAAAGTATGTGAGAGCGAGTAGTGGTGAGAGAGGAATAATAAATTATGGAAAAATTGATATTAATTATCCCAACTTTACTCCATTTTCTTTTAAGGACTTTTTGTGAGAAACTACCTAATAAAACCTAAATTTTATGATAAACTGTCTAATATAACCTAAATTGCAAATTACAAGTTCAGAAATCTCATTAATAACAACATGCACTCGAGGATCCATGAAAAATTGATCATTTTGGGACAAAGTAAGTCCCAAAGAGTTGATGGCCTCATCATTTACACAGCGTAAAAGAAGCAACTCTTTAATCTTATCATTCTAAAAGGAAGAGATTATATGCATATCTCTTTTCATAAACGAAAATTGTTCATGAACGGGCTGCAAAAACATTTTTTTTTAAAATGTATCAAAAGTTAAATCATATTATATGCAATAATAAAAATAATAATATTAAATAAAAGTCAATTTCTACTTACATCAATAGCAGCCGAATGATTCTCTTGATCTGACATTGAACCTGGTGGAAGAATGACCTGTATTATGCCCTCGGAAGCAGGCACATCAACAGTCCCAACATTCCCCGCAACGTTATCAACACTTCCCCCGACATTCCCCATACTTCCCCCTGCAATACCCTCAACAACATATCCATCCAGAAACTTCAATTTACCCCTAACAGGATACACATCAAAGAGTAAAATCCCACTCTCAAAACTTTTGGACAACCTTTCCTTCTTAATTCTATCCCTAATCAACTAATCATTCTAATGTTGAATTAAGGGTGAAGAAGTACTTAATTCAACATTCCTAAATTTCAACCTATGAAAGTAAATAATCTTCAACATCAAAATACAACCACAACACCACTGGATTTCTCCTTTTTTGTAACTTTTCACACCTTCACACGGTTTTTCAAGAACATATTTACACCAATTCAAATTCTTAATATGTCCAACATCATCAAGTGACTTGAAAATCCTAAGATCAACTGTTCTGTTAGAAGTAGGAGCTAAAAAGGTGGATATTGCATGCATAACAAAGAGTTGCTTAAGCTCATCTCCACCTTGACCTAAAGTAGGTATCCTAGCTTCTAATAAATTAAGTGGAATTTGATCATTTTCATTTGTCAACCCAAAATACAATCTCCAATCACGTTTGAAAACAAAGCCAGGGTTATTTTATTAGTAGATCGAGGTATCTCCTAAACTTTTTTGGGGTTTAAAGGAAGGCAAAACGCATCATACTCAGTCACCACAAACTCCTTATTATTATTGATTGAAAACATGCAGCTACATACCACAATGAAAAGAATCAACTAGCCACCTATACATACTAGTAGGATTTCTTTTCAACTTACAATGATAACAACCCTCCAAAACCGATCTCATTTACAGAATTTTTTTGATCATGAGTAAAGAAAAAAATACAACTTTAAAGCTACCCATATTACCAAAAATAGAGGTTACTCTAAGTCGCTATTGATTGTTACTGCTATTTGTCATCACGATTACGCATCAATAATGTTCAAAAGTCCAACAGGACAACCTCAAACATATAGCTTGATTTTTAACCAAAGATACACCATGATTAGCTGTATCAAATTGCCTTCTTGATAATCTTGTACTTTGAAATACGAAATTGAGGAAATGAGTAGGTGTTAGCCTACAAATAAACAAACTCAAGTTATATATTCATAACTCTGAGATAAATAAAATAGATTGATGCAGATAATTTAGCGATCATTCCACATATTCAATAACAAAATTTGAAAGTAGATGATCTGACCATGAACTTCACACGAATATAGTTAGCTCTCTTAGTCTCTTAGTTAACATAACGATTTGAAGTTGTATAGGTTTAATTAGGCGGAAAGAATTTAGTCTTTAGTTAATGCAGCATAGTTTTATACAGTTAATTATACAGTAAAGTATCCAAAAATGTTGGGTTATTAGTAGTAAATAGTAAAGGATACTGCAGTAGGACTTTAAATTTTACATTCAGAATTGTCAGCTTATAGTTTCAATGAATTATAAATTAGCCTCCTGCAAACACAAAGCGAGCAAAGATGATCATTGCTCCCCTTCATTAACCAAAACAAAAGTTTCATCATATACATTCAACCTAACAATTTGTCCTAACCAGTGCATATATACAAATTATACATCGTAGTTGATGAAATTTCATCCCCGTGTTAGAGAAATCCTCAAGGTTAAAGCATCAAAATTGCGGGTAGCTTATTTACAGAACTTAACCTAGGACTTATCAGGCCGGAACCTTGTCACTAATCTAGCTTCAAAATTATCCACTGACAGTGCTGAAAACTGTACTTCTGTGAATTATATGATCTGGCTTTATATGAAAACTTAACCTAGGACTTATCAAGCCCGAACCTTGTCACTAATCTAGCTTCAAAATTATCCACGGACAGTGCTGAAAACTGTACATCTGTGAATTATATGATCTGGCTTTAGGATGAAAAGTACAATACGCAATGTGAAGAAACTGCCTCACAACTAGCTCAAGCATAAACCTAATATCTCTTCAGATAGAGCAAATAGCTCCTCAATTTCCAGCAACTTATACTGTTATACATGCTTTGATTTGGCACCAGACGAGCTTGATGACCTCCTACTCAACATAAAGAACAAAGAGATCAATGAATAAAATTGAAAAACACTGATAAATTGATAGCAAATGAATATTAACAATCTAATGATTGCAGAGAAAATGAATGTTGAGGAAACAATCAATCAAGGGACATCATACGCGGCAAAATTGACATGTACCTTATTATTATCTACTATAATAACCAGATTCTTGAGCCTCAAATTGATTGACACACCACAAACTCACAATAAGCAAACAGGCACCATTTTATGCATGGCATTAAAATACAATAAAGGGCAATAGACATACGATACAAACAGTTCATTAAATAATGGTTGGCACCCATGTCAAGCTTAGTGTCATGAGATCAAATGCCCCTTAGTCTCAACTTTCAGCTGATCAGGTGAGCAGGAAAAACTGGTTTAAGAAATATGAGCATCCAGTGTGCTCAATGCTCAAGAGCTGCAAACCTTGGTTAAGCAAGCAGCGTTATAATAGCAGGTTAGCTAACCATTTTAGATAATCATTCCAAGTTTATAATTTTCTGTCTACTTGCAGCTAGATAATCATTCTTGCCCATACATTAGACAATAGATTTTTTAAGAAAAACTATTGACTAAAAAAAATATGCAGAGGTGGAAAAAAAAAAAAAAGGCTTACGCCGCTTACCATATGCAAACGAAGGCCGCATATTCAGAGGCACTTGCAGTGGTGACACATATGATGACAGTGCAAATGGAGGCACATTCAGAGACTACACAGACGAAGGCGGCACATTAGGAGGAGACACGAAATGACCAGAGCTGCAATGTGGATCAGTTCCAGAGCTTGAGCCATTAGATGTATGTACATTAGACGTAAAAAGAGTTTTGTGTCCAGAAGAATGTGGCATAGGTTTAAGACAGGGTGTCATATCCGAAGGAGCTACTTGGTCATCATTCTCTGCTCGAGCTCGCTTTTCTAGCTGTCTTGAAGCCCAAGTGCCTGCTCTGCGTTTCTTAATTTCTTTCCCCTTCTCCAATTCCATGATGCGTGATGAAAGGGAATAAAGTGGGAATTTTGACTCGAGCATAAAATATGTAATGCATTTAGCTACATCTTGGAGACTCTTTAATTCCATGCATTCGGCTTCCATCTGCAATTAAAGTCATCAGTATACACAAACATAATCAGCTCATTACAAAATAAGAGAGACCAGAAAAAACACAAGCAAATACAGTAAAAGAGTGTAAAACTGGAAACGAGAAATAAACTTTCAGGTCAAAGTGGAATAACAAAGAGGACAAATTAGGTAAGGTTTCAATATCCAAAATTAGATAAGATAAGAAGACTATATGAGAGCCTGGAAGTTGATCATGTTGTCTAAATGAGGCCATAGAATATGTCAAGTCAGATGCTAAGGTTCAAGGTAGGCAGGGAAAATAAATGGTACAAAAATTCAGCTGATCCCAAGTCCCAAGCATATGAACTTATGAACCTTTAATTAAACAGGGCATAATCCTTGGCAAAACTAAGAACCACAACTTTTTATTACTCGGATCAGTCACGTGACTGATAGTTTTTATCATCCATACCAATCATCACAGAAATTTTACAGATCTTTCACCTGCCAATTACATAATCACGATGAGTGTCACTAAATGAGCTGTGTTTCCATTGAGCACATACAGCAATACAATTGTCTGCCTAATTTTGTTGAACTAGTCCACAAATATATCACATACAAAATAACAAATAAATAAACAAACCGAAATATAACCATGTTTACAAACTTTTGTAAAGTATTTGCATTTGTGTTGCCAAAGGCTGCATGAATAAGACAGACATTCTAAAGGCTTATATACAAAGTTTATCACCTCTGATTTCTTCTGCATAACAGGGAAAGAAATGATCTTGCTACAAAACGGTGAAGTACCTTTGATTGAATAGTTCCATCCTTTTGGATCTCGTTCACTCTTTGCTTCAGAGATTCCAAGTGTTCTTTCAGCAGAGGTACTGGCGGAAAATTGTATTCCAGCTTAAAATGGCAGATGAACTTGATTGCCAAAAGACACTTCTTACTCTTAATAAGGGATCTGATATGATCTGTTTAATGTGAAAATAAATATACAAACAGTTAAAAAAATGTGAGTAGGTCTAAAGAGCAGATAGCACCATTGACATACAGACTTAGTAAGTAGATGAAAAGGCATCTATGATCTATGGTAGGACAATAAGTACTAAACTCACATTTCTCAGTGCACTTTCAAAGCTAAATAACGAAAAAAGTCTCATAAACTGGTAAGGTAAGCAGCATAGAATCAATTTTTTCTTAAAAAATATATTGTTTCACTAACAAAATCATTCTAAAACAAATTCAGTAGTCATTGACATACAAACTTTGTTTGTTCCCCACCCTTCTCTACATCCCTTTTCCCCTTCAACGTTTCAAAAAATTTGCGTTGTCACAACTTCTCCCACCTGTCTTAAAAAAATGACATGCTATTCGGACAGAGCTTCTTAAAAATTCTAAATTAAACCAACCCATACAGGTTCAATGACGGACCTAATATGTTAATTAAACAGTATAATCTTGTAAGCATAATGTAATAATCACACTATGTAAATTATGTCAAAGTAAGCACCAATATTGCAAATTGTTTTATCAGCAAGTCTATGAAAAAGATAAATAATTATACCTGGAATTTTCTTGGAAAGTCCCAACACACGGCATAAATTTAGGATCCCAGGCAGATAGATGTAGACATCATTGCCATCATAAAAAATTGTCAAATGTGAGAGAAGCTCTTCAGCTTTGAAAAATCTTGCTAGGTTGAATTTAGCTAACAATTCAAAAAACACAAAATGATTTTTGGTAGAATTACTCCCGTGCAACTTAGTCTTTAAAAGAGCAGCAAAACTTTTTGCTTCATTTATAAATTCAGGTGTAATTGGTGGTGATATTTCCATCAACAGTTTAAACAAAAATGAGCACCGAGTTTTATTAGCTTCCGTTTGAAGCTTGTATTGGTGGAAAGTTTTCAAGACATCAAAAACAAGCTTTCCAGGATCAGGTGCACATCTAAGCGCATTCAATATACTGTAATGCAAGATACCAAGCTCCCTCACATGCTTAACCAGATATAATCTCACACCATCAACGTCCATATTTTTGCACAAAAAGGAAATATCGGCACCAATTTCTGGTGAGGAAGGAGCTAAAACATTTGCTAATTTAGCGATATCTGAATCCGGTAGCTCCTGACTAGCTTGTTTGCAGCTGCTGCTTACTGAACAATCAGAACATGTGATACAAAATCATCAATTAGCACATACTAACAAAGTAACAGGCATGATGAGCATATTCGTTAACCTATAGTTGATAAGACTAACAACAATATTGATCAACTCGGCAGCTCATACATCAAGAAAACTGTAAGAGAAAACAGATATTTGATCATTCATGACTACATAAAAACATGTTATGAATGGAAAGGCCATTACGAAATGCAGTATCAAGTTATCAAACCACAAGCTTTATACAACTCAGATTGAAATATGTTAAACTCGAAACAGATTTGTTCAACTGAACAACCAATCTTACTGGATAAAGAGGTTGTCTCCAGGACCCACATGGATTATATCTATCTCAATTTGTAACAAGAACAGAAAATTCAATTAAAATAAATAAATAAATGGACTTGAATTTAAAGCAACTAAAAGAAGGGTGTGAAAGAATAAAGCAATGCTTACCAATCTCCATCTCTTTATGCTCTAATGATTGACAACGAGAAAGTATAAATTGCTCATCATTTTGCTTCTCGATTAAAGACTCATCACTTTCCTTCTTTAGTAACTCCTTCCGTTGGCAAGACTCGTTAGTTTGCTTCTCTTTGAATTCCAATTTTCGCCAACGTTCCTTGATTAATTTCTCTTCAAACTGTAGGCCCTTGTTGCGACTATCAATTCGAGTTTCTATTAAAGCCAACGCTTTACAACGCTCACTGATTTGCTTCTCTTTGGTCTCCAATGCTTGGAAACGCTCTTTAATCTCTTTTTCCTTCAGTTCCATCTGTTCATAACGCTTATTAAGTTCCTTTTCCTTCAATTTCAAATCTTCGTTTACTTTCACTTCCACTTGTTGGCAAAGTTCCATAACTTGTTTCTCTTTCAAATCTATGGCCTTACTTTGTTCACTCAATTTCTTCTCTTTCACTTCTACAAATTGGCATTGCTTTTCAAAATCTCTCTCACTACTCTCAAGCCACCTCCAACGCGCATTCATCTCCTCCTCTTTCGACTCCATTTCTTTGAAACGAATGTCAAATTCTTTTGCCTTATCCTCGGTTTCTTGGAAAATCTTATCTTGCTGCTTCTCTTTCAAATCCAGAGCTTGGGAAAGTTCTTTTAATTCTTTCTCTTTCAATTCCAAGTTTTCACAGCTTTTTATTATTTGCTCCTCCTTCAACTTCAACACTTCACATTGCTCACTCATCTGCCTCTCTTTCAACTCTAACACCTTACTTTGCTTACTCAATCGCTTCTCTTTCGCATCCACTGATTGGCATTGCTTAGTTACATCTTTCTCACTAATCTCAAGCCACCTCTTTCGCGAATCCATCTCCTTCTCTTTCAACTCCATATCTTCCTCACACTCCCTAACTCGCTTCTCTATAACCTCTAACATTTCACAGCGCTCAACAATCTCCTTCTCTTTCAACTCCACGGCTTCTTTACACTCCCGAGTTTGCTTTTCTTTAGCCTCTAACACTTCTAAACGATCATTAATCTCGCTCTCTTTAAACTCCACAGCTTCTTTAAGCTCTTGAATTTCCTTTTCTTTAACCTGTAACACTTCAAATCGATCATCAATCTCCTTCTCTTTCAACTTCATACCTTCCTCACCCTCCTGGATTCGCTTCTGTTTAACCTCTAATAATTCACGATGCTTATCAATCTCCTTCATTTTCAACTCCAGAGCTTCTTTATGCTCCTGAATTTGCTCTTCTCTAGCCTTTAACACTCCAAAACGATCATCAATCCCCTTCTCAGTCACCTTCACAGCTTCCTCATGCTCCTGAATTCGCTTCTCTTTCATCTCTAACACCTCACAACGCTCACCCATCTCCTTCATTTTCAACTCCAGAGCTTCTTTATGCTCCTGAATTTGCTCTTCTCTAGCCTTTAACACTCCAAAACGATCACCAATCCCCTTCTCAATCACCTTCACAGCTTCCTCATGCTCCTGAATTCGCTTCTCTTTCATCTCTAACACCTCACAACGCTCACCCATCTCCTTCATTTTCAACTCCATAGCTTCTTTATGCTCCTGAATTTGCTTCTCTTTCTCCTCCATCGCTTTACAACGCTCATCGACATCCTTCTCTTTCAACTCAATACTTTCTTCACGCTCCTGAATCCCCTTCTCTTTAGCCTCCAACACTTGAAACCGCTCGTCAATCCTCTTCCTTTTCAACTCCACAACTTCTTCACACTCCCGAATTCGCTCCTCTTTAGCCTCTAACCCTACAAAACGCTCATCAATCTCCTTCTTTTTCAACTCCATATCTTCCTCACATCCCCGAATTCGCTTCTCTTTACCCTCCAACACTTGACAACGCTCATCAATCTCCTTCTCCTTCGACTCGAGCTCCTTCCATCGTTCCCCAACTTCAACCTCCTTCAATCCCAATCCCTTCTCTTTAGACACCAACATTCTGCTCATTTCATTAATCTCCTTCAATCTAACAGCATTGAATAATTCATCCATTTCCTTCTCTGTCAACCCCAATTCATCCTCTTTTTCTTCCAACAAAACAAACCTCCTATTCAATTCTTCCGAAAATTCCTTCAATTTTTTCTCCCTCTCATCCAATCCATCCCCTCTCTCAATCATCATTACCTCCCTCAATCCCACCTCCTCCGCCGCCGCCTTTGCTTCCTTCTCCCTCACACAACACTCCGCCACACGCTCCGCAACCTCCCTCTCACTCTCCTCCACCTCTCGCCACCGCTTCTCGACTTCCCCCTCCTTCTCCTCCACCACTCTCCGCCGCTCCTCCACCTCATTTTCTCTCTCCTCCACCGCCTTCCGCCGCTCCGAAACCCTCGCCTCCGCAACATCCACCGCCTTAACTCGCTCAAAACCCTCGGCAAATCGCTTCTCGCAAACCTCCGCCGCCTTAACACGCTCTGCATTCTCTCTCCTCTGCAACTCCAAACACTCACACCACTCCTTAACCTGCTTCTCTCTCATCTCCACACCTTCAATCCTCTGTTTCAGCAAATTCTCCTCAAACTCCAACTTCTTCTGCCGCACTTCAACTTCCTTCTTGAAATTCTGAAGCCTAATTCTGTTCATGTCAATTTCTCTCTCCTTGGACTCAACCGCCTTGACTCGCTCCTCCAACGAGTTGTGAATTGTTCCGAGTGAGTTCTGTAAACTTCGCCATTGCTCGCCGAGTGTAAGAATTGAGAAAGAATGTGACTGGAAATCCTGGAAAGTTTCACCAATTTTCTTCATCAACATTCTTGCAACCCTTAAATCGTTTGTAGTATTCTCCGATACAGACATGATTTATCCAAATTTTGATCAAAATCAAAATTCAAAACCCTAAGAAATTCAAAATTTCACAAGAAAGTATCCTAAAATTTCTTACAAATAAACAAAGATTAAAAGTAATAATCATATGCTCTGATAATTAATAGGGATATGAAGTATGAACAGTGTAGTAATTTCGTGGGATGAATAGTGTAGTGAGAGAATGGAGGAGAGAGAAAATCACAGTAGTGTACTACGGAGTATAGAATAATGAAGGAAAAACGAAAAACCGTGATGAAGAAGCTTCAAGATAATATTGGTTGAATAATGCGGTTTATGCGGTTGAAAAGTGGCCGGTGGTCTAGGAGAAGTCAGGGAGTTCAAAAGTTGCAGAAGCAATTCATCATACTACGGAGTAGCGTTCTTGGACATTGCCAAAATGTAATATCAATTTGGGTATATGGGTTGGGTCCGATTAGGTGTGATTAATTTATTTTAAAGCTGAGTCATGGCTCATGCTTAATTAATGGGTTCATATGAGTTGAATTTTAAATTGGATTTTGATTGCATGTTGAAATAATATTTGGGTTGTATTAAATATCGCTCTCTTTTTATTAGGTAACGCTTCTATTTTAATTTGAATGTACTTATTTACCCTTCTTATAAAATATCCTTTCTTCTTTCACTTTTTACTCCACTATTTCATCACTTTTCTGATAAAAACATAACATTCACACACTTTTCTCTTCTAAAATCAATAAGATTCAAAAAAAAAATTAAAAAAAAAAAATGCTGAAACACATCCACACACCACTCGACCTACACTAACAACCACCAAAACGAGGTATTATGTTTGGTCGAAATGGGAAAGGGGATAATAATAATAATAATAATAATAATAATAATAATAATAATAATAATAGAAAAACATAATTTCACAAAAAAAAAAAAGGAGAAACGCCTGAAAATTTTGGAACTCCAAGGGGGAAACGCCTAGAATTTCCGGATCCCCTTGGAAAATCCGAAAATTCCAGGCGTTTTTATAAGGAGGTAATGTATAAGGGAATTTAATAATGAAATTAAAGTGAAAGGGGACCATAGGGGACAATTTTATAAAGAGGCTAAGTTCGTACATATATGTCAAAAAGGAAGCGTTACCTGGTAAAAGGGGAGTGTGGTTTAGCGATTCAACCTTTGGAAGTAAGTTCATTTATTAGAAACATTAAAATGTTAATCCAGTATAACATGAATCATGATACTTTTTTCATGTAATTGCTAATTACCTTTTATCAATTAAAATATATGTGCCTAGTACTCAAAATATAAAATTAAATCGCATTTATATTATTTGTCGTTATGACTCTTCTCTCTACACCATAGGAAAGAAAATAAGTTAATACACTCTTTTTCATTATAATCATTAATTATTACTCATAATAACATACATATACAGTATAATACTCCAATCGTACATTTTCTACTCTAAAGTACTACTCTGTGGTACGTTTTCTAAATATTGGGAATTTATTGCATTGTAGGAGTAAGTAGTGCATTTAACAGTTTAACACCATTAAATTCAATAACATATTAACTTGTATTTAAACCAATTTATTTATTCCAAAAGTACTCCACTATTAGAATATTCTCTTTACTCTTATAGTTTAACACCATTAAATTTATTTTTCAATAATTCTAACTAAATGGTCAAAAGTATAGGCGTGATGCAGCTATTTCATGATGTACCTTAAAATTTGCGTAGGTTCGGTTTTTGTATTTAAACCAAGTGGTTGCTTAAAGACCAGAAAGGCAGAAATAGCTTCAAATCTTCTAAGGGCTTGAATGAGATAATTTACTGAACTCTTATCCCCATAAAAGAAGAGCATTAAGTCATCAGCAAATATAAGATGGTTTAAGTGTAACTGTTTGCATCTAGAATGAAACTTGAACCTGTGGAGCTTGCCCACTTTCTTCAAAAGCCTAGTCAAATACTCTATCACAATAACAAACAGGAGGGGAGACATGGGGTCTCCTTGTCTGACCCCTCTTTTGCCCTTAAAATCCATGAAGCCCCCCATTAATGAATATGGAATAAGACGGAGTGGAAACACACTCCATCACCCAAGCAACAAACTGAACAAGGATGCCAAGAGCCAACATCATATCTTCAATAAATTAAAACTCCAATGGACAGAGTCATAAGCCTTCCTAAGGTCCACCTTAATGGTGCATCTAGGAGCTCTTCTTTTATTATTATAATTCTTCAACATGTCTTGACAAACAAGGATATTATCAAGAATGGACCTACCAGCTACAAAAGCGCCCCTGAACCTCATCAATTAAACTAGACATAACCTCCTTCAATCTTGAGCAAATCATTTTAGAAATGATTTTATATATGATTATTTAGAAGTGCAAATCGCAAGGATGATTTTCATCTAATTCACTTGAACGCATTTGAAAATTTGACAACCGTTGCGATCCTGAACAAATCTTTACCAGCGAACTGATAATAAGGCAAAAGATGATTACCTTTTTTTTATAATCCCTAACCCACAAACAAACCCTAAATATAAACAAACAACTAAACTAACAAAAAATAACAACTCCATCATAGGGAGACACTCCACTATAGGGAGACAGACGAATATCTACACTACTCGTGTGGATTTATTGAAACCTAAATTGCAAAACTAAAGAAAATTAAGGGAAAAGGGTCGAAATAGTCTAACTTCCGAAGAAATTAGACTATTTCCAATCTAAATGGCCAAGAATTTGGAGAAACCCTAGAAGAGAGGAGGAGAGAAGAGGATGTTAAAATTGTAGTTAAAGTTAGCGCCAAAAACTTACTTTAATACACCTATACTGAAACTTTATATACTCCAATACTACAACTTAATCGTATGTCATTGAAAATTACAACTCCATACCATACTATTCTCTCCGTACCATAATATAATACTCTCTTTTTTTTTTTTTTTCCCTGTATAGCATGAGAATTAAGAATACTGAAAAAAGGTATAAAAGTCTTGGACTCTTGGTACATATTTGGCATGTGTTTGCAAACACATATTAGGGCATTTTTATAATCAACGTGAACAATTTATAAGATAGTAAATATATCATTAAGCGAATAACAGTACCATTAGATGGTGTAATAGTAGTATAATACTTCTGATGGTATAAATTTTTTTTTTTTTTTGAAAGAACTGATGGTATAAATATATATTATGAATTTATGATATTTTTCTAATACTAATAGAATTTTATGGTCGGATTAGGCAAATTCTAATAGTATCATTATACTAATATGATATTGATAATATCATTGACACTACAATACAAGTATATTTATTTATTTAATTTTTTTTTTGGTGTTCCACTCGATTCATCCTTTAGGCTAATCCGAATTCGAGGATCAGTTATGGGTGGTTAAGTTCCAATCCCCTCTCAATTGTTGTTGTGAGGGAGCGAACACGCGGTACTCCCTACCAAGTGTAGCCCCAATCACCACTACACCAACAATCAATTAGTACTCCAATACATGTTTATAATGGTACACAAAAACTAAAAAAAGAACTTTAAATGTATTTCATACATAATACACCAACAACAAAATATTTTTCACCCTATTGAAATTTTGAGGTGCATTATTAATTAGAGTTATTTGATGGTACAAAATATTGTTGGATTATTAATTTGAGTTATTTGATTACTATTCCCACACCCTATTGATTATTTGTTCGGATTCCACCGGATTTGAGATGAGAAAAAAGAGAAAAGGTCTTACTATAGACTATTGGCAAAGTTGTGGGTATAAATACAAAGAATAAATAGATTAAAGTTGTAAATGAATATTTCTTGTATTTACCTATTTAGAAAATTCAAATAAAATTGATTTTTTTTTTTTTAAAAAAAAGTCCAAAGAAGTGGGGCCTGTCAAAAAGGAATATGAGCAATGACATGTGTCATCTCGTGGTGTGTCCTTAATTATTATTATTATTTTTAATAAAATTATATTATAAAGCAAATCTATACAAAAATAATTCCTTAATCTTATACAATATGGTTACTTAAAATAAAAAAAATTTGACATATTTTTAACACAAATATCTATATAGCTTTAACAAAGCATTCTTAAAATAATTTTGATAATTTTCTGCATCATGTTATATCTAACATATCTTTCGTAATCTTTATATTGATCATAATTTGTCAATTATATTTTTAGATTTTATTTTGTTTATAAAAAACTAATTATAATGATAGTTTGATAATGATTATTAAAAATTACCGTGCATGACACAAAAACTAACCTAGTTTTATAAACAAATGTAACCACATCATATCATTCATATGACTAGCCAAAAAATAGACTTGTTAATAATAATACAATTGAAGGATCAACACCACCAAACTATATTGACCTAAAATAATTCAAAAGAATTGGGCTATAGTCAACCCTACCGTAAGTTGTACACATTTTTTTAATTTTTTTTTTCCCTTTCTTATTTGATAATTAAATGAGCAATTGTCATAAAAAAATAAGCAAAACATACTCTTGAATGAACCTACCTGAATGTAGGTAACAATCTCTTGTGTAAATACTTAAAAGAATCGTGTTAGTGTATATTTTCTGAATAATAATTTTAAACTCCAGTATCATTTGAATAAAGAGGGTTGACAATGAGATTCTTCTTAGCAGATTGAAGAAAGGATCATATCACTCAAAATAAATTGATCACCTGGGACATCAGTAACACTTTTGAACATTTCCAATTCAGATCGCCTCAAACGATAAATTATATTTACCTTTTGTTCAAGATATATACATACACGGCTTACCACACAAACGAGATGACTATGGATGTATGTTTTCTAGGCGTTATAAGCAAAAAAGCCCAAAGTACAAACACCACCCGAAGGAACCATTTCTTCGTGCTGCTTCCAAGACTTTTAGCAAACGAAATGACAATGGATGTATCTTTTCTAGGCGTTATAAGAGAAAAAGCCCGGAGTACAAACACCAACAGAAAAAACCATATCTTTGTGCTGCTTCCAAAACTTTTAGTCCTACGATAATAAATCTTTCACAAGCATAAAGACTATAAGAGGCAACTCTACTTCTGCCATCCCTAATTGCAGGCCCTGTTTATTTATTAAGTAAATACTTCATCCCAAAATTAGAGCCACATGTCTAAATCTAGAAGATCAACATACCAACACTCATATTTCCCTCAAAATGATAGTGGTGTAAAGGTAGATCAAAGGTCCAGCAGCAACTCCAAAATAGCCCAGAAGACACAATGAGCAAATACGATACATGGCACCGAACTAATAACTTGCTAATTGGTAGCAGGTAAATTTATAGGTTTCTTTGAGATTGGCCTTCAAATAACATTTACCTTAAAAATCTTTCTTTGCTTCCTGGACTCCATGGAATTCAAAGTGTGTTTCTTCCCCATCGCCAAATGTGACTGATCAAAGCCAGGAAGAGCAACTCCCTTCCTTTCTGAGTCTGAAATATTCTTCTTTACTGTCAATATGCTTTCAGCATTCGCCTTTCCTTCCATCTCCTTCTCTAATAGCTTTATGCGCGATTCCAGAGGAGCAGGTGAAAAGCTTGGACTCGAGCTTGAAATTGGAAATGCATTTAAGCAAGGCTCTGAGGGCAGATAATTCCATGTTGACAGCATCATTCTGCAGCAAGTTTAAACTACGAGATCAATCCAAGAGAACATTGAAAATGACTATCCAAAAGCAAAAGTCATTAGGCGCAAGCATAATGAAACCTTGAAAGTCTTGAACTTATACATTGCATTCTGTTATAAATGAAAATCTACAACGATACTTGCTAATAAAAGTAGCAATCAAGAAAGGAGAGGAAAGATATGGAAATAGAATGATTTTAGCAAGAATACCAAAGCGCTGTCACTGCCTTTCTTGACCATTTCTCTCTTCTGTACGAACTCCAAATGGCCTTTCAGTAGAGGAACTGGTGGGAAAGTATCTTCCAACTTGAATGCACATATGTACACAACTGCTTGAAGTTTCTCCTCCCTTGTAATTAGAGATTGGATATAGATTTGGACAAACAAGAGACAAGCATGATTGATATAGATTTGGAGAGAGCTAGAATATTTCATTATAATAATTGCTTTTAGAAAGGCTTACAAGTGTAAAACGAAATACGCAAATAGTTAAGTATATACAAAGAATGGGATAATAACAAGTGAAAGGGTAGAAGCTAGTCAAATTCCACAAAGGATCGGATAATAACTCATATACAGCTTATAAGGTAAGTTATATTCTATGAGTAAAATAGCCATATTGCCATGCATCATGATTCCATTGGAAGTGTACAAGCAAATGAAGCAATCAAGGAAGGACAGACTGATATTATTGTAAATGTATATTAATCATTCAAAATTAAATGACATTAAGGTCAATATGAGTACTTGTTAACCTCTTTCAATAGATGGGTTTTGTCAGGAGTAAAGCCATCAGTTCTACTAAATTTCAGATGGAGATGCATGTAGAGATTCAACATACCTGGAATTTTCTTCTCCAATCCCAATATCTGGCACAAATATACGCCTTGTCCGGACAGAAGAGCCTCACTCTCAGTAAAGAAGGCCCTTAGATGTGAAAAAAGTTCATTTGCATCATATGACTGTGCTAAGTCGTATGTGGCTAAAAACTGCAGGAAGGCAAATGTATCAAGACGATGAATATAACCCTGCTTAGCGAAAAAATCTCTCCACTTGATGCTGAACTTCATTGCATCATCTTTTAAATGTGGTGTTACACTAGTGTTTAGTAATAGCAATGCTCCTGACAAAGTTGTGCAACAAGCAATATAAGGCTGTCTAAGCGTACTTTCTGACTCGACCAACTCATAAAAACTTTGAATCACATTAAAAACAAGCTTTGCTGGATCTGGTGACAACTGAAGAGATTCAGATATATCATCACGCATATTATATATGTCCTTGCAGTGTAGCTTAATTAGGTAAGATCTCATGCCATATGTGTCCATATTCCTGCACAACAATTGAATCTCACAGCACGCCACTGGCTTAGGTTCTCTGGTTTTTGCAAGTGCAGAACTTGTAGGCCCTATGCAAGTGTTGAAAGAACAGCAGTAAGCATTTAAAATTATACAAAGTTTGCCAAAGAAGAAAGATATAGATGTGCAAGTGGGAAGGTCAATGGAAGTAATGATAAAGTAACAGTAAGCGTAGAATGTTCTACTAAAAGTGACAAGGAAGAAAGATATACAAACCATATTCAAGTGTAGAAAGAGCAAATTAAAAAATCAATATAATTCCAAGAGATACTATGACAATAACCAGACTTAAGAAACCAAATGAAAAGATAATGTCAATGTTCAAAAATACAACTAGGATTTTGGAAATTAAAAACAAAAAGATGAACAAAACCCATTAAAAACTAGAACAAAGCAACAGATATCTTGTCTTTGGCAATCCAGCAAAGCATACTAGTTCCCCAAGAATATCAAAAAATGAGACACACACACAATGCTGAATGTTTTAATAACAGAACAGTTTAGACCAAGAACAAGGTTTTTACTCAAACCACACATTCTGAACTCCATGAGTCACCAATACCTCAAACTCTGATATAATTTCCCTATATTCAAGACACAAAAGCAATGCAAGTCACTTCCTCCTCCTCCCCAACCCTTTCATCCAAAAAAAACCTCTCCTATGAGAATTCAGAATACATTTATGCATCTCTTATGGTCTTAGACCTTTGCCGCAACCATTACCATTGGTAATACATACATAATCCAAACCAAGATGGTAAAAGTCAATCTTAATTGGAGATATCTACAACAATAAAGCCTAGTCCCAAAAATCCAAAAAGATTGGGGTCGGCTAACATGAAACTTCATAAGGATAATTTGGAGATATAAGCAATGAATATAGATACCAACTGGCTAAGCATGTTTAAGTTTCGGGATCAAATCCCATGAACATCTCTGCCCTTTGTAGCTCTACAATCCAATACCCCAAAGAAAGATATGAATAAAATTAATCTCATTCACCTACTTCATCAATATTATCACAAAAACACCACCATGATCAATGTAATCAACAAACAGCCTTAGTAAAATCATTCAACTTGAATATACATATATGCAAATATATTCAACCTATTTAGTAAACAAATCTTTCTCCATCAACTGCATCAATCATTAAAACAAAAAATTAAAAACCAAATAATACGAAATAATTAATTAGCAAAAAGAAGGTAACTTTATGATATAATAATGCCAAACTTGTTAAAAAATCAATATCTTTGCCTCGTTCATTCAACATTTTCTCTCTACAATCCAACTCTCGACAACGATCATCCATCTGTTTTTCCCTCTCCTCCACCACTTTTCGACGCTCTTCAATTTTTCCCTCCATCACCTTCACCTCCTCCATCATCGCCTTTTTCATTTTTGCCATTTCGCAACGTTTCACCACCATTCCCTTACAAACCCCGTCAATTTGCGCCACTTTCACTTCAAATGCATCAATCTTCTCATTCATCTGTTCTTCTCTCATCTACACCTCATTCATCTTTTCATTCACAGCATTCTGTAGCAATTCAACCTCTTTCAAATACTTTTCCCTCATTTCATTAATCTCCTTCTCCTTCAACTTAACAGAATTGAATAATTCATCCATTTCCTGCGTTGTCGATCGCAACTCCAATTCTTTACCCTCCAACACTTGATAACGCTCATCAATCTCCTTCTCTTTACCCTCCAACAGTTTGCTTCTCTCATCATTCTCCTTCTCCTTCGATCTAACAGCACTGTACAATTCATCAATTTCCTTCTCAGTCAATCCCAATCTTTCCTCCTTTTCTTCCAACAAAACAAACCTCCTATTCACTTCCTCCGAAAATTCCTTCAATTTTATTTCCTTAGCATCCAATTCATCCCCTCGCTCATTCATCACTTCCTCCCTCAATCCCACCTTCTCCGCCGCCGCCTTCGTTTCCTTCTCCCTCGCAACAACCTCATTTTCCCTCTCCTCCACCGCCTTCCGCCGCTCCGAAACCCTAACCTCCGCAACATCCACCGCCTTAACACGCTCAAAACCCTCGGCAAACTGCTTCTCGCAAACCTCCACCTTCTCAACACGCTCTGCAATCTCTCTCCTCTGCAACTCCAAACACTCACACCACTCCTTAACCTGCTTCTCCCTCATTTCCACACCTTCAATCCTCTGTTTCAGCGAATTCTCTTCAACCTCCAGATTCTTCTGCCGATTCTCAACTTCCTTCTTGAAATTCTGAAGCCTAATTCTGTTCATGTTAATTTCTCTGTCCTTTGACTCAACCACATTGACTTTCTCCTCCACCGATCTGTGAATCGTTCCGATTGAGCTCTGCAAACGTTTCCACTGCTCCCCGAGTGTAATGATTGAGAAAGAGTGAGACTGTAAATCCTGAAACGTTTCACCGATTTTCTGCAGTAACATTGTTGCAACTCTTAAATCATTTGTAATATTATCCGAATTAGACATGATTAATCCCAATTTTTGACTGGAAAACAAAAACTGAACTTTAAAAACTTTGAATTTTCACAAGAATTTATCATAAAGTTTCCAGCTTAGATTTGAAAATGGAGGAAATGATATAGTGTGTGGTGGACTATTGACCGTGGTAAATATGGTAATGAAGGTAAAAGAGTAAAGCGTGATGAACAAGCTTCAACATCTTATTGGTTGATTAATGCGGTTACTTTTTGTTTTACCCCGTATTTGTGAATCCATTTGACGCTTTACAATCTTTATTCAATGCAAAAAACTTACGGAGTACTGTACTCTGTAGTCCGTATAATTTGATACTCCGTACTACGTACAATTTTTAAAAAATATTAACATAAACTAACTTTGATTTATAAACTAGATTAGTGTCCGTACGATGCACAATAGTAATAATATTTTTCTCATAATGAATTTTGATATAATATAAAAATGAGGCAACTCATTTGGAATAAACAAATGCAATGCATATAGAAAAATAAAATAATAAGGCAAAATTCATTAAAACTACAATTGAGAAAGCAAAAAAATTATTGTTGATTAGTTGAGTTGAAAATATTTAAAAATAGTATACATTATATTACATTAATAATGCATATTATTTCCAATAAACTATATCATCTAGTGACTATATGACTAAAGACTTGTTAATAAATGCCTTTTAATAAACATTAAAACATTAATCAAACAACAAACTAAAATCTACAGTAAAACTATTAGCACAACATACATATAAATATATAAATTACAAATTAAATAATATATATTCTTTATATCCAATAAAATAACTTCAATGGAAATAAATACTGCTTAGATCATTAAAGGCAACAACAATCAATAATTAGGCAACACTAACCTATATTATTAGTAGTACATTTTCTGTTTAAGCATTGATGCTCTACATAATATCGTCTCTCTTTGTTATTATATAAAAATGTGTTTGAACGCTATCCAATAATTCTAGTTTGATCAGTGTTTGTTTATTGTCTTAAAATTTTATTTGTCGATGATAGCTATTTATCCATAAAAATAAAAAAAATAAAATAAATAAAAGAAACACAAGAATATGTCACTTGTCACTATGCCCGACGTGTTTTTTAAAATGCAGCTTATTTATGAATGTCGAATGTGATAAAATTATTATCTCAATAAAGTGTTTCAACAAAAGATATAACTTTTTTGTATTTACTAAGATATTAAATTTTTTTTTAATAATGTAATAACAAAAAATTATTGATATTTTACATTTTCGAATTAGACATATAATATAGTTGTCGAACACAACATTTATTTTATGGTCATATCTAATACTCCATTAGTCTAATAAACAAAATAAAAAGGAATTTGAAAAAAAAAATTAAAGTGATGTTTTAAAGTAATTTTCTTAATATCAATTACTTCTATATGAATCAGTTTTATTATTACTTTTTCGAAAAAAACTCAATAATACTCGTTTAAAAGATAATTAAAAAAGAGTTGGAAAACTATTTTAGGTAAATGTGCATGGAAAATTTTAGAACACAATAAATAGGAATACATTTTATATAGAGATAATATATAAGTTTGGAATAATATTATTATAGTTTTATTATATAAATATTCCAAAATAAAATATTTTTTACTAAAAGGGGAGGGCGAGTTTTGGAAGGAAAAAACAGCACCAGGATGTGACACATGTCATTCCCGGTGTCTGTTTTAGTATTAAGTTATTATTATTGATGAGTAAATCTAACAAAACCTTAAATAATTACATTATTTGATTTATTTCTAATAGATTAGCAACTAGTCAAAATCAGTTATTTGAATTTGACCCAAAAAATATACTCTCTCCGTCCCTTTATTTTTGCCCCATTGCCATTTTTGGGGTCAAACTTTAAAAGACCATAAATTATCGTTAATCTATAAAAGATAATTTAGTCATGTGTGGTTTTGTTAAATTCGTCTCATTGTATATTTTATTAATATCACGTTTTTATAATTTTTACGTGTATTGAAATAAAGATATAGACGTTTAAATAAGCGTCTTGGAGACCGCGCATAGTCAAATTAAATGGGACAAAAAAATATGGACAGAGGGAATAATGAAGCAAATATATTTTTTTGACATTTTTCGAGGAATAGAATGAGTACAAATTTTAAAATTCAATACAACCATGAAGCGTTTGATAAGGCATAAAAATAAAGAGGTTGAGAATAAATAGGTGAGATAAAGATAAAAATAATGATTTCCTTGTTTGGTATGGGTTGAAATTTGAGAATTAAGTAATAACTTACTTTTTTATTTTATTTTTTTTTTGAACAAAAAGTAACTTATGTAACTATTCTTACTAACTAGATCTAAGCCCGTGCAATGCACGAGTCTCTATTAATTATTAAATATAACATTTAATATTCAATCGTAATAACAAAAATATTAATACATAATATTACTATATTTATTTAATCTTATACAATTAGGGTTCACAAATATATAAACATCGTATATTTTTTAATTTTTTTTTTGTTTAAACAACAAAACAAACTATATGTATTTATTTAACCATTTTTTTTTAAATTGTGTACAAGGTGAAACATATTATCTTCTAGCCTTCCATCATCCTTTGTAAATCAATCGTTGATCGTGCCGGTTAACAAGTTGCATGATTAAATACGCCCCATTACAAATTTAACATCCTTGCAAAATTAACACTTATGGCTGACTTCTTTATTATGATCACCGTTCATTTCATTCAATAATTTCATGGTGTTCAAATTCTAGAATTTACCACTTTGCCTGCAAAAGTTTTACGTGTATTTATGTGGGATATTAGATAAGTTTATATAGGATTGAAAATATACTGAATTAGTGGTGATAAATTATATTATTAGATATGATAAATTTTGTTAATGTCATCTTTTGGCCGAATAAATAATAAATGATGAACTTTTTTTTTTGGCTAGAACAAAGAGAAAGAATATATTTTTAGTTTCAAAGATTTTTTTCTTATTTTTTGTATCTAATCCAAAACTGATTTTTTTTTTAATTGAACATAATTTCATATTTTTTTATAAAATATTTTATGATAATCACTTCCCATATTTCAGTATTTTTTTTTATCTAATCCAATTTTAAACATGAATTTCAATTCATTTTTCAAGTTCAATAGTGTTATATATATATATATACATATATATGTGTATATATATATATATATATGTGTATATATATATATATATGTGTATATATATATATGTGTATATATATATATATATATATATATATATATATATATGAAATAAATTGTTTCTTTTCTTATATTTAGATAAAATTTTCAATATGAAAAGATAATATTTTATTTTGTAATTAATTTAAACTTTTAATTCTAGTCTGTGGCGCTTTAAAATAATAATCCTACGTGGCATAATCTTATACGTAACGCTCTACAAATATTAATCCTACATGGCTCTCTAAGAAATTTTTAAAATTCAAAATCCTACGTGTCTCTCTAAAAACTCGGGAAAAAACTCCCCTTTGTATATATATATACTAGTTTTGTGCCCGGGCGATGCTCAGATGGTTGATAAAAGTTTAGGATAAATTTTTTGATTGGATATTAAATACGGTCATATAATCCCTTAATAATGCAGGACATTTAGACATAAACTTATTTTCAATGATTCTCTATTATTTTTTAAATAAACTAATATATTATAAAATGATCTTATTCTAAAGAACTTTTTAAAACGAATTTTATGATAGAAATAGTATCGAGTAATAAGATATTTATTAAAACTTATGATTATTTTGTATATATGAAATATTAGAAGTATATCGATAATAAAACTCTATACAACATTTTTATCTTTAAAAATCTATCCAAACTTCACTCACGTAGCATCATATGTGTCACAATAATACCTATTTGTCGCCTACGTGGCATGACACTTGGCGAAAAACTGGAATGCCAAGTGTCGCTATCTCGTGGTCTGGCTGCGAGACCGACTTTATTTATTAGTGACTAGTTTTGTGCCCGGGCGATGCCCCGGATTGTTGATAAAAACTTAAATCATTTTTACTAATTAAGTCTTATTTTTATTAATTCTCTATTATTTTTTAAAAATAAATTAAATATATTATAAATGGATCTCGTTTAAAAGAACTTTTTAAAATGAATATTATGATGGAAATAGAACCGAATTATAGGATATTTATTAAAAGTTAGGATTAATTTTGTATATATGAAAAATTAGAAGTATATCGATAAAAAACTCTATTTAACATTTTTATCTTAAAAAATCTATCCAAAAATCGCCTACTTAGCATCAAATGTGTCACAAAAATACTTATTTGTCGCCTACGTGGCGCGACACTTGGCAAAAAACTGAAATGTTAACTATCATTGTCTCGTGGCCTGGCTGCGAGACCGACTTTATTTATTAGTGATATGATATTATAGTTTTGTGCCTGGTCGATTCCTAGATTATTAATAAAATTTTAGAATAAACTTTTGGCTTGAATGTTAAATATGGACATATAACCCCTTTTGATAATGTAAGATATTTAGACATACGATATCATATAATAGTGTATTTTTTGTAGTTTTGTTTGTAAATAAATATCAATGTTATTATTGACTTGAAATTAATGTTATTAAATTTAAATTATTTTTACTGAATTGAAAGTATTTTTACCAAATCAAAATTATTTTTACGGATTAAAACTTATTTTTATTGATTCTCTATTATTTTTTTAATTAAATTAAATATATTATAAATGAATCTTATTTTATAGAACTTTTTAAAACGAATTTTATGATGGAAATAAAATCGAGTTATAAGATATTTATTAAAAGTTAGGATTAATTTTGTATATATGATATATTAGAAGTATAGTGATGATAAAACTCAATGCAACAATAATTTTATCTTAAAAAAATCTATCCAAGAATCGCTTACAAAACATCATATGTGTCACAATAATACATATTAGTCACCTACGTGGCGCGACACTTGGCGAAA